ATCAAATCGCGTGAACTCTGTCTTGGGCCATACAAACATTATTCGAAACAAGTCGCATTTTACCGACTACAGTTTCAATTATCTATCGTACCTGAACGCTGAATACGGAGAGTGTCTCTCGTAGATTTAAGATGATCCGCAATTCGTAGCCGGTATAAAGACGTTTTAATGGAGTGCTTCATTTTTTTCCAAAGCTATATTTTTCCTTGATTTGGTCAACGAAAATTGTAAGAAAGAAAACTTTGTTTTCCATGGGTTTTAAATTACACTAAGCCTCAATCACATCGCGGTTTAGCGTGTACTTCAAAAGCACCAACTAGTAAGAAAGAAGCTTTACTGGGTTGATTTGATATTTTCTCGAGTGCATTATCTTAGGCATATTGCTTCAGTCCATGCGCCAGGTACTTTGTAACTAGAGTTTTAAACAAGCAGAAATCTTTTGTTTCACTGAATTTCAATCAGTCTGCAAACAGGATTTCAATGCAAAAACCGTTGTCCGTCTGAGCCGCCCGCCACTCAAACAATCTTCAACTCAATTTGCCATTTCTGTGCACTTCAAGACATCTTAATCAACCAACCCGATTCGGTAAAAAGTATCGGAATGCAGTCGGCTTTTATTTTAGCCGTCTCGAGAGACTTTGTGGTTGAATGCAACGAACGCTCACATGACTACTTTTACGAAAATGGGAACGAAAGGGGAAATTCCTAGCGCAAAGTAGTGGCTTCTTAGGAGCTAAATTTTTTGCTTGAAAAATTGTAATCCGAATTACTCTCGAAGCGAGTGATTTTAGCGTTAGAGAGCTGATAATTCTTGATTGGAGAAGCATTTTTCTTGCGCAAAGAAATGAAGCTCTTTAGCACGCATTAGCATCATTTAGTAATACCCCGAAAATTCAAAATCTCCTCAACTAGATTATTTTCTTACCCGGCAAATCAAAATTTCGCCAAATTTGCACCATTCTGAGTTTTTACAAGAAAAATTGCTCAAAATCGCTCAATCTGCGGTTTTCTCAATAAATGGAAATTTTGCAGGCAGTTCATAAAATCATCCCCATTTTTAGTTACCTACATAGTTACACCATTTATCCGCATTGGCAATAGTATACATGCTCCAGGACTACTGTATACAACAGATTTATGTTCAGGGTCTCTGAGCGTTAAACTGCTAGCTTTTTCACGCATTTTTCTAAAACAGGAAACTCCATAACATTTTGTTCCCTTTCCTAGAGTGTTGACTCGTGCAATTGCACATAAACAAAAGTGAATCAACGATGACGTCATCGTAAATGCTTCTCGCCGTCCGCAGCATAAGTGCTCGACTGAAGTAGTGCTTGATTGCTGCAAGCTAGTCATGCCGTGCTTGGCGCATAACTCGTTCTTATATATCTGTCGGCATATCAAGGCAGCCGCCGGCAAAATCCGGAAAATTCAATCAAAGTGGCACTCTCGTTGCCCTGCGGGTGCTAACTAAATATAGTGCAAAGTGTCACAGAACGAACAGATAAGGCTGTGAGGGGCGAATCTGTAAACCTGTCGCATTTTAGATGTTTCAAACAACCTGCGTCATCAGCACAGGAATCGTCACCGTCACGACCTTCTATTGTACGGAATACTATGACCATTCGTAACAACTATGTAAATCACTGCCCCAATAATTGCAATCCAACGAGGTAAGCCGATTTCTAATTCATATAATCCCGTTCAAAATTCGCCAAAAAAGTCACCAAACTTCACCGGATTCCACCGCAATCCGCGTCACATCGCCATATCATGTTTCAATGTGAATGAATTTTGAATCCAACAGCATCGCTCGGTTCAGTTTGGTGAGACACATTTTCTAGTATATGAATGTGCCCATTTGAATACAATAGGTGCACGGTATGTAGAGCCAGATTTTGCGAGACCTTTGACCGCCTATGGTATTCAAACTGGCACTTTTATATACGAGAAGATGAGACTTTTGGAACTAGTCCAATGGTGCATCTGGATTCAGAAGTCTATTCTGAACCAAAGTATTGCGATGCGACGCTAATTTCGGTGAACTCTAGTGGAGTTCGGGACTTTTTGACGTCATGAGCAGGAGGGCATTGGAGACGTAATACGAGCTTTTACAGCAATGAACCACCTGCACCGACTTCGTCACCGGCCGAAGAGATCCTTGGCGATGCTAAAGTGCTCGAGTCAATTGCTTTTGATATAGATCCGTCAGATCCCATAGCCTGTGACCCGACTCTGGCGCAGAATGCACCCGATGAGATGCTGGTAAACCCTCTTACTGATGATGTTCCCGAAACGGAAGCCTCACATCACTCTTCCCCAACGAGCCTGTCACCCCAACATCCACGTTCTGTACATAGTGAACCGGTACTTTCACATTCATCACAGCATTCCCCTTCCCAACACTCTTCTCTCTCCCATGATTCTCCTTCCCAAAACTCACTTTCACAACGATCTGGATCCCTGCGTAGCGGTTCCATCTCCGTTCGTACTTCCTCTGAAGCGTTGCCAATTCAAGTGGCGACATCGGTGTCAACGCCGTCGTCACCTCTAGCTTACGAGATCTTGCGCACGACCAACGATGATGTAGCAGCAACTCGGACCGCGAATCGGTCATTTTCGCCTCCGTACGATTCGCAGAAGAGTTATCATTTCTACTATCAACAGC